GGCCAAAAAAAAAAAAAAAAAAAACTAAAAGAAACTCACAACCTGACCCCCATCCTGCCTGCCTCAGACGAGCTTATACAGCCAAGTTTAGAACTGTCCTGCGAGGGTTTTCAAGGGCTCTCCGGCTCCCAAGAGTTTGTGGCTCCAACTGGAAGATGCAGAATCCCAGCAAAGCACTTTACTGCAACTACAAACTGCAGAACAAGCCACCTGTCACTTCTTGACACCTATAACTACAAAAGCCCCAATGGCCACAAAATTCAAAAACCAAATAGTAAGGCAAAATCAGCAGCACTTGAGTGAGGGTGTGAGGCCCTGCTTTGCGGAACGCCCTGCCTCGCAGAAAGCCCACCCCATACACTGTGGCTCCTTGACTGTTTCCAAATCCCCAGCCAAGACATGAGCCAGGACATAACCAAGGGGACTCCCCAGGTAGGATCAGAGCCCTCCAAGAAATCAGGATGTTTGGCTGCCCTGCAAGGGGTGGAAACCTATTCAGACCTTTCTGAAACCTGAGCCCTGGGGTTGGGGCGGGAGAGAATGGGAGGGGCTTCTTGGCTGGAGAGGCCATAACCCCCACCCATGTAGCTCCTCCTCTGCCTAGGTGCCCTCTTTCTGGGGCCACTCTAGGTGGTGCTGGCCATCTCCACTCTCCCTTTGCCTTCCTCTGCCCCTCAGGTCGGATGGGGACAGGCTGGAAACACCAGCCAGCTCCATGGACAGGGACTTGCCTTTGCCCACCTTCCAGCTTTGGAAAGAAAAGAAGAAAAGTTGGTGTTGATTTGTATTTGGAAGACTGCTCCCCCTCCTAAACTTCCAGGGGCAGAGAAAGTGATTCAACTTTGGATTGACTGTAGAAGAAGGTCCAGAAAGAGCCCAGAACATTTCCCCAGGTATGAATCTTTCACTTTTGCTGGTGTGTGTGTGTGTGTGTGAGAGAGAGAGAGAGAGAGAAAGAGAGAGGCAAGTTTGCAAATTTCCCACTAGTGAGTTGGGAAGTTGTCCTTAATAATCTCCCAGGCCTCTTCTGACTGCTTCACTCTATGATTCTGCAGCCATAAACTTCATTCAGTCATTCAACAAACATTTCCTGAGTACCCCCTCCCCTGGTCCCACCCCAGTGCCAGGTGATACCATTAAATAAGATATGGCTTTTGCCCTGAAGGGTCCACAGTTTCTAAATAGGCAGACAGTAATACAGGCAGTAATAGTGTTAATCATTACAATTATGATGCACCAGATACTGGACTAAACCTTGCATAGCCATTAGTTCATTTAACCTAGCAACAACTATAAGCAGTAAGTGCATTATTAACCCCATTACACAGATGAGAACAGTGAGGCTTAGCAAGGTGAGGTCACATAGGTAGTAGATGGAGTTGCTGCTTCTAAACATTGTTATGCTGCTAACCTGTGTGGTGAAGAGATACTCCAGGGCAATGGTTGAACTTAACAAAGGTGGATAGGGAACCTGAGAGCTTTTTAGTGCCCTAGTCACCTAAAGCAGGTAAGGCTGAAGCCTTATCTTGGCCAAGGTGCCTGGGGCAGGAAGCAGGAGCAGACTTGGAGGGGGTCAACCTTGGAGCTGAGGGGTGAGGCAGGCTTAGTAAAAGGCTCTGGGGTCAGCTGGGATTTGAAGTCTGTAGGGTCAGGGTCCTTCTCCCCAACTCTTGGGCCAGGGTGGCAGGTGAGCAAATAGAGGATCCTGAGGATTCCTGGGAGGGTGTCTGAGAGCTCTCTGTCCTCATAATCACAGGATGGGGGGGCAGATCTGACCTGGAGCTGGGCAGTGTCTCAGCAGCCTGAGAAGTAGGTGGCCCCTAGGCTTGGAGGAGGGGGGGGAGGCCCAGATAACTATGTGTCCCCCGCCCAGCAAATATTGGACTGTTGCTCTCCCCCTCCTCATGGCTCTCAACTCCCATCTCCCAGCTGTCCCCAGTTCTGGAAGACGGAGGACAAAAGCTGATTATTCCACTGGGGGCTGTACTGGGCCCTATGAATGGGGTATTGAAAACCCTGTGTCCACATCCAGATAGGTTTTCATCCTCTCCCTAACCAGACTATTTGTATGCCAGGATAGAGGCAAAGACAGGGAGAGATGGGGGTGGGTGAGCAACAGGGAGCTCCTTCTGAGATGGGCACCCATGTCTCCCAGGCACATCAACCTCCATATATTCCTAACAGAACTGTCTTTTCAACTACCTCCTCCTACATTCCTCACTCACCTGGGGGCTGGGAGGCAACTGGATGCCTCTCTCCCTGTCCTCCACACCTACAGAAGCCCCATCTTATCAGCTCAGTTTCCCAGGTATCTTCTGCACCTGGTCCTTCCTCTCTGCCCCTTGTGGTCTGAATTCTGGACAACTGCATCAGCCTCTAAACCAGCCCTCCATCTCCCCTGCTGTGTACATCCTCCAGGCAGTCAGGATCTAGCTAAAACCTGCAAGGAAAGGGGATATGCAAGGCCCGGCAGGAACTTCTGGGATGCTGGTTACATGGTGTGAATGTTTACTGAGCTCTGTGCTCATGATTTATGCACTTTTTTGTTTTCATGCCTCACTCTAAAATTTAATTTAAAAAACACAGTCTTCAAGAGCTTTTCACCCTCAAAGTGCAGAATATCCCACATGACATTTACTTCCCAGAACTTCCTGTACCATTTTTACATATTTGTGAGCCATAGGAACTTATTTGTTTTTATTTCTTTTTTTGAGACAGAGTCTCATTATGTCACCTGGGTAGAGTACTGTGGTGTCACAGCTCACAGCAACATTGAACTCTTGGGCTTAAACGATTCTCTTGCCTCAGCTGGGACTACAGGCGCCCACCACAACACCTGGCTATTTTTTGGTTGCAGTTGTCATTGTTGTTTAGCAGGCCGGGTCCAGGCTTGAACCCACCACCTTTGGCGTATGTGGCCGGTGCCCTACTCACTGAGCCACAGGCCCGGAGCCTGTTTTTGTTTTTTTGAAACAGAGTCTTACTCTGTTGCCCACACTAGAGTGCCATGGTGTTAGCCTAGCTCATGGCAACCTCAAACTCCTAGGTTCAAGCAATCCTTTTGCCTCAGCCTCCCAAGCACCTGGGACTACAGGAGCCCACCCCCACACCCAGCTAGTTTTTCTATTTTTAGTAGAGATAGGGTCTCACTTTTGCTTAGGCTGGTCACTGAGATCAAGTGATCCTCCCACCTCAGCCTCCCAGAGTGCTAGGATTACAGGCTTGAGTCACTGTGCCAGGTCAACTTACTCATTTCTTTTGATTTAAATTAATTTTAAAGGAAAACTTTATATTGTTTCAATAAGTGAAAAACCAGAGTCCTTTGCCTTAATAAGAAAAACTACTATAAAAAAAAATAAAATGTATTTTATATATAAATATATATTTATAACTGTCCACAATTAAGTGGGTTTCTACCCAGTGTCACCAACGCAACACTTTGCATAGGCCTGAAGGACAAACCTGGATTCCTTGAGACTATCATGACTTGGGACCAGCCAACCCTCTCAACTGGATGCCACTTGCTTTTTCACATAACTATGGCTCCAGTCAAACCCAACTCCTTATTTTTCTCTGTCCACAACCATCTTTCTCACCTCCCAGCTGTCGTCCCCACCATTGCTACCATTCAGAATGACAAACTCAAGTGGAAATGTCATCTCTTCCAAAGCTGGCCTCTTCGGCTGAAAGTAAATACTTGGGATCTTTAATTCCAGATGTTCCAGCTGTGACTTCTCCCAGCCTGCCCCTTGATGGGACCATCTGAAAGACCCTGCACTGTCTGGATGCACAAGGAGGCAGAGATGAGAATTTGTCCCCAGCAGGATGAGAAGACTAGGGGGTGGAGGCAGGGAGATAGAAGCACTGCCCCTTCCCCCCTCTCCCCAGTCCTGTCCTTCCTTCTCCTTCTGCCACTGGGTGAGTGTGCCCCTGCCAGCCTCTGCTACTTCCACTTTCTGGATCTCAGTTGTCCCAGCTGTAAAATACTAGGGGGTGGGGGATTGTGAATGAGCTGGTTTCCAATGTTCTTTCCAGCTCTGACATTTGCCCAGGGTTGATGAAAGCTAAGAGTCTGAGTTTGGGGAGTGGAGAGCTCAGTACAGGAGGTGAGAGGTAAATGGACTCACGGAATGAGCACTTAGGGTACACTGGGCAAAGGGAAGGAGGGATAGGGGTGGGCTCACCAATGGCTGTTGGAAAGGCAGCTGGTAGAACAGATGAATTCAATTGACCTGGGGAACTATCCAAACTTAAAAAGAACTGGACTCTCAGTTTCTTCATCTGTAAAGTGGGTACACTAGTATATGTCTTAGAAGGTGAGTGTAATAAGGATTCTGTGAGGTAATATATGTGAATGTGTCTCAGGATTGTTAATACCTTGAGTACAAGTGAGGGGCTTTCTCAGGGTTTCGATTTTCCCTGTTAGGCTACCTTCCATTTCCTCGCCCACCCCTCTCAGATCTGGTGCTTAGAATAGTGTGGTGGCTCGGCGCCTATAGCTCAACCGGCTAAGGCGCCAGCCACGTACACCTAAGGCGGCGGGTTCGAATCCCCAGCCCGGACCCGCCAAACAACAATGACGGCTGCAACCAAAAAATAGCCAGGCGTTGTGGC